CGCAACACACTCATATACACATTTACAGAACATACACAATACAAATATACTCTATATACACACAACACACACGTCCAAACATATGCACAATACACTCATGGACACATAGACATACAACACACACACACACACACACACAAATTTATACTTCTATTCCTCAGAATTTATCTCCCTTCTACTGCTACCTCCAACTCCTATCTTCTTATGAAGTCTGTCCATGGAGATGCTTTTAGGTTAGGTCCACTTTGCTATGGATTGAATTTCCAACACACGCTTTCATGTTAGCCCCCATGCAGCCAAGCATTGCAAATCAGATAGGTGAGGAAGTGCAGGAGTGGAGACAGAACCGAGAAACCTTTTGAGTGCTGACAGATTTTCAGTCACTTGTAACCATGTCTGATAGGTTAAGGAACTGCATGTCGTGAGATCAGGGAAGTAGCTTTCTACCCATCTTTGCCCTTTGGGAATTATTCTCATCCTCTTGGTGCTGGGAACCGACTGAGGAAATAAAATTGGAATGAGTCTCACTGAGCTGTGTAGCACAAATCTCAAACCTGTGAAGCAGTGAGGCTTTCTTGACAGGGAGGGCTGTGTTGTTAGCATATTTCTCAAGAAGTAGCTAGGATACATTTTACCTTTTTGTGCACAGAACAAAGAGTGGTTCTTACAGTGTGTTATTTTTCAACTGTACTGAGACATTTTTTCCCTATGGATGCTTTGAGGGGGTCAATGTTGACATCTTATACAGTAATAAATAAAACCTAGTTTTTTCTAGGTTCTTCCATGGATTATTGGTTTCAGGGGAAACAGCAGTTGCTATATAGAAGAAAAGCTTTTCAGACAATATGCAGATTCTAGATGTCAACTGAATTGTCTAGGTTTGGGTTTTTATGTTTGTGAGGCTTTTATGAGACTTTATTTGTGAGATGGGAAATAGGGAGAGTCTCCTATATTTAGCAGAGTGCCTCTGCAAGAAAGATTCTGAGGGCTTGGCAAGGCTGTATTACATGTTTGTAACTGTTGGTATAGTGGGGAATATAGTATATTATATGATAAAACATTTCATTTGGCTTAAACTTTTATTTTCTTTTTTCTTCTAATTTAAAGAGGAATAAAAGTCAGTTTTGTGGCTCATCAGGCGTACTTTAGGGCCAGTAGAATGCTGAGGGGGTAGAGGCGCAGGTAGTGTAAGCCAGACAACCCAAGGTAGATGTCCCCAGAAGCCACAGTGGGGGAGAGAACGGATCCTGAAATTCTTCTGACCTCTACATGCATGGCATGGCATGAGCATGTCTACATTCACATACATCACACACACAATCATACATATACCACCCTAATAATAAGTAAGAGAGTCTTCCACACATGTGATAAGGCAGGAAGTGGACTGCAGCAAATGTGCACATAAGGAAGTGTGGGAACTTCAGTCATTCGTCATGTTCCCTTAGGCTGAAGTTGAAATGGGTTTTCCATGTTGAATGTTTTCCTTGTAATCTACACACTGGCTGGAAAACAAGATCTTCTTATCTATCTATCTATCTATCTATCTATCTATCTATCTATCTATCTTCTATCTATCTTCTATCTATCATCTATCTATCTATCTATCTATCTATCTATCTATCTATCTATCTATCTATCTATCTATCTATCTATCTCTATCATCTATCTATCTATCTATCTATCTATCTATCTATCTATCTATCTATCTATCTATCTATCTATCTATCTATCATCTTCTATCTATTATCTATCTATCTATCTATCTATCTATCTATCTATCTATCTATCTATCTATCTATCGCCTTATTTGCATGGGTTTAAAGTGGTCAAACTCAGATCCATATATTTGGAAGACAACCCCTTTTCTGACTGTGCTATTTCTCCAGCCTTGATCCCATAGCTATTTTTTTAAATATTTATTTATTATGTATACAATATTCTGTCTGTGTGTATGTCTGCAGGCCAGAAGAGGGCATCAGACCTCATTACAGATGGTTGTGACCCACCATGTGGTTGCTGGGAATTGAACTCAGGACCTTTGGTAGAGCAGGCAATGCTCTTAACCACTGAGCCATCTCTCCAGCCCCTCCCATAGCTATTTTTAAAATGTTATGCATTTCCCCAAAATTGGAGTCCTATACCCAGCTAACGTGGTAGTCACTTTCTCCATTATATAGTTATAGCACTTGAAACTTTTATAATAAGTATTAATTATTCTTACATAGAAGCAGTCATTAAAGAGAAAACAAAAACAAAGATTGCCATGAAGAAACTGTAGTGAATCATGTTTTTCTTTAGAGATTGTTTTTCTTCCTCAACGAAAGATTGGATTTCTTAAGTCGAACAATATTCCATTGTGTAATACATTTTCATTTGATAGACATGCAGGGTGTTTCTATTTTCATGCTATTATGAATAGAGCATATGAATATGATCATAGATGAGCAAACATATTAGCAGTAGGAAATAGAATTCTTTGTGTATATGCCCAAGAGTGGTTTCGTTGGACCATATGTTAGCTCTTTCCTAGCCTTTCTAGGAACCTTCATACAGACTTTGACAGTGGCTGCCCCAGTTTGCAATCCCACCCAAGAGTGAATAAATGTTCCTTCCCCACATCCATGCCAGCGTTTGTTGTCTTCTAAAATATTCTCAGTCATTCCGACTGAGGTAGGATGAAATCTAAAGCAGCTCTAGTTTGCAGTTTCCTGATGCCTAAAAAAGTAGAACATTTTGAAACCATTTTATTTTCTTGGTCATTTGCATTTCTTCTTTTGAGGACTCTGTTTATTACATGCCCATTATTAATTGGGTTATTTGTTTTCCTGGTATTTAAATTTTGTTTGTTGTTTCTCTTTGTATATTCTAGACATCATCTCTCTTTCATATGCTCATTTCATTCTGTAGGCAACTTCTTTACTCAAATGATGGAGTTCTTTGCTATATAGGAGCTTGTTAGTTTCGTGAGGTCTCTTGTCCATCATTGTCTTAATATCCGCCCTTCTGGGGTCCTGTTCAGAAAGCTCTCCCCTGTGCCTATAATTTGAAGCATATCTTACTTTCTATTCTGTCAGATTCAAGCCATCAGGCCTTACACTGATGCCCTTAAATCATATGTAGCTGTTTTGTACAAAGTGAAAGATAAAGACCAAGTTTCACTCTTCTACATGCAGACACGCAGTCTGTTCAGCATAATTCATTAAAGACAAATTAGGTCTTTTCTCCAATGGTCATTCTGGCCTCTTTGTTAAAACAAACAAAACCTAAAACAAACAACAGCTGGTGACAGTAGGGGTGTGAGCTTATGCCCAAGTTCTCAATTCTATTCCATTGGTTGGTGTGTATGTTAGGGCCAAGCTGTTTTTATTACTATAGTTCTGTAGTATATCTTGGAATTGAGGATGGTAATACCTTTAGCAATGTTTTTTCATTATTCAGTGTTGTTTTGAATGTCCTGGTTCTCTGTATTTCCATATGAACTTTGAGATTTTTTTCAATTTCTCTGAAGAGTTATATTGGAATTTTGATGGAGATTGCATGGAAAATCTGTAGGTTGCTTTTGGTAGGTGTTTTCATAATATTAATCCTATCAATTTATGACTGTGGGAGGTCTTCCATGTTCTGGTATCTCCCTCAATTTCTTTTGTATTGTACTAAAGTTTTCATTGTACAATATTTTCTATAGTTCTATTTATCCCAAGATATATTTTTGAGGCTATTGAGAATATAACCCTTTCCCTGACTTCTTTCTAGGTATATTTGTTGTTGGTGTATAAGAAGGCTACTGATTTTTGTGTATTTTGTATCCTGCTATTTTGATGAATGTATTTGTCACTTGTATCAGTTTACTGGCTGGGTCTTTAGCGTCCTTTATCTGTAGAATTAAATTTCTTGGATATACTTTGAGTTCTTTCTTTCCTATTGGTTTCTCCATTGACTGCTTCTTACTCTAGCTAAGACTTCAAATGCAATATTGAAGAGGAGTTTACAGAGTGTGGGTCCTCCTTGTTTCTGATTTAATTTCTTGTATATTGCCTATACTATGTTGAGATATGTCACCCCGTATCCCTAAAGTCTCCAGAACTTTGATAATGAAGGGATGTTTGTCAAAAACCTCTTCCCCATCTAGTAAAATGACTATATGGTTTATATTCTTGAGTTTATGTGATGGATTACATTTACAATTAATTGATTTTTATTTTTTTATTTTTTAAAGATGTATTTATTATGTATACAGTATTCTTGTTATTCTGCATGTATGTCTGCAGGCCAGAAGAGGGCACCAAATCTTATTACAGATGGTTGTGAGCCACCATGTGGTTGCTGGGAATTGAACTCAGTTCCTTTGGAAGAATAAGCAGTGCTCTTAACCACTGAGTCATCTCTCCAGCCCTTAATTGATTTTTATATGTCAAACCATCCCTGCATCTCTGGAATGAAGCTGACTTGATTCTGGTGGGTTATCTTTTAGATTTGTTCTTGAATTCACTTTGCAGTATTTTACTGAGAGATTTTTGTGTCTGTTGTCATCAGGAAAATTGTTTGTAACTCTTTTTTTTAGTGTCTTTATCTAGTTTTAGTATTAAGGCTGCACTAAAAAGAGTTTGAAAGCGTTTCTTCCTCTCTTATGGAATCATTTCGGGAGTATTGGTGTTAGCTCTTGAGATCTGATAGAACCCTGTGCTGTTGCACCCATCAGACCCTAGGGTAATTTTTTTATTAGTTTTGAGATTATTTTAATTAGTGCCTCTATCTCTTTGGTTATTATGCATCCATTTAAATCACTTCATCTTGGTTTAACTTTGGTAGGCAATATACTTCTAAAAGTTTCTCCATCTCATTTAGACCTATATGATATTAGAGTATAGATTTTTAAAGTATATTGTTGAGGACTGGCCTCAACAAAAATACTTATTACCAGGGTAGGGATGGGGGAATTGAAGAACTATAAGTAAAAGGATACGAAGATGCACAGAATAACAAGACAGAAACCATAAGACAGTACTGGGAGGGTATTCCAGGGATTATTGAAACCCTGAAATTACCCGTGTTTATTTTTCCATAGCTTTTATATCCAATGCAGACTGGGGGAGAAGATAACAGAAGACGTTATTAACATGATACAAAAGGTAACTCACATAGCATTCTGTCATCCAGGTAGCTGAGGTGCCCTAAGTTACTTACTCTAGGTCATGTATGCTAAGACTGCCCTTCCCTGGGTGACCTCATAGTTACAAAAGAAAGGAGCAGAAGCACACCTGCATATCCTGACCACCATCCGAATGGCACTGAGCTATCTTAACTTCAAAAGAGCCAGCAACCACCTGCTGAATTAGAAGGTGCAATTATGTCTGTTAGGGTCCAAACTCTCTGACCCTCAGACAAGGTGGAAATGGGCCTTCATTTTTTTGGCCTCCACAGTATATCCTTATAGTCTCTAAATTTTCTGTGTCTGTTGTGATGTCTCACTTTTCATCTATGATTTTATTTACTGGGGTCTTTTCTTTCTTTTGGCTTGTTTGGCTGAACTTTTGTCAATCTTGTTAATCTTTTCAAAGAACCAACTCTACACTTTACTGATTCTTTGCTTGTCTCTTTCATTTCTATTTCATTTATGTCAGTTCTGACTTTGGTTATCTCTTCCTTTCTACTGTTTGGGAGTGTGGTTCAGTTTTTGTTTTCCCAAGGTCTTCAGGTGCATCATTAAGTCATTAATGTGAGAAGTCTCCAAGTTTATATGTAGGCACTTAGTGTTATAAACTTTCCTCTTAGGAACCTCCATACTATTTTCCATAAAGGCTGTACTTAGTAACACCCCCCAATAGTATATAAGCATTCCCCTTTCTTCATGTGTTTAACATTTTTCTTTCTGAAAACAGCCACTCTAATATTTATAAGGTGAGAGACAGTGTTTTTTTTTGTTATTTAATTATTTAATGGAAAAATCCATTAAAATATGAAACACTTTATGAATTTGCATGTCATCTTCACACAGAGGCCATGCTAATCTCTGTTATCATTCCAACTTTAGTATATGTGCTGGTGAGGCAAGCACAAAGCATGTGGTTTTAGCATGTATTGATAACTATTCTTTGCAATGCTAAACACTTCAGCATTTACCTATCAGCCATTTAAATGTCTTTGAGAAATATCTATTTGGATTATTTGTCCAGTTTTAATTGGATGATTTGAATTCCTGCTATGAGTTGACTTAGTCAACCCATTATCAGTTACATGATTTCCAAACATTTTGTCTTACTCCACTCAGACACCAAGTAGGCAATTTACAAATAATGTAAAATATTCTTCATAACTTTGAAGGCACTGACAGATTTGGTGGCAAAGAGTCCCTTTCTGTTTCAAAGATGGTACCTTGTTGCTATGCTTTCATATGGTATGAAACCACCAGATTCCCTCAAGCCTGTTTGTATTAGCACTATCTGGATTATGAGAGCGGAACTGGAGAACACACTTGACAATTATCTCTCAAAGACTCTCCTTTGTAATAGCATCATCTTGGGGGTGAGAGCTGTGTGACATTTCCATTCTGTCATCGGTATTCTCACTCCCTTGGTTCTTTTGCTAACAAGCACTTTAGTTGCATGCAATCCCATTGGTCTGGTTTTACTTTGGTTGTCTGTGACTTTAGGGTTATGGATCTCCACTTTAGTAGTGTCCAGGTGATTCACTTAAATCCCTAAAATGTGAAAGTTGGTCTTTGCATGTGGCCTCTCTTACACTATGGGTGTCAACCCCTTATGGGTTTATGTAACTATGGGAGTCACAACAGTGAAAGGCTTCAGAATATGCAACAGTCAAATCAAAATCAAACAAGTAATGAGTCCTGTGTTCCTGGCAAAGCCTGGCTGAGTTCCATCAAACAATGCCTCTAGACTTGGGTCTGGATCACAGCTTTGCACCGCAGGGGTCGTCACATCACATAGAGTCGGCCAGTGTTGCCTCAAGCACCATGCTCAACATGGAGTTCCCAGTGCCTTTTGTTGTACACACAGTTCTCTGCTCTTATAGCAACAACAGTTACAGAAAACAATGAAGTTTAATATTTCCTTATTAACATTCTCCAACATGCAAGAATTATACCTTTATAGTCTTAGTATTGTGTCAAAACATTGGATTGAAAAGAATTGTTATTGGAATTGCTGACTTAGGTTTTGGTTTCATTAAAAAAAATTGTTAAATGAACACTAGGCATGTTCTGGCACACCAGCCTGGCCTACAAAGGGAGTTCCTATCAGCCAAACCAAACCAAACCAAACCAAAACCCAAAACAACAAAACGAAACAAACAAAACTATCAAAAAAAAAAAAAAAAAAAGAAATTTGGCTTTGAATTGGTAGGACTTGAGAGCAGCTTGCCAACAGCCTTGACCACTCTGTCTGGAGCTCTGTGTCAGAAATCTACTCTTCCATACGTTGTCTTGGTCATGGTGTCTTACACAGCAGCAGTAGCTGATACATGTGCCATGTGCAGTAACTCTTAGATTCACATGTAGTTTCTTAGGATCTGGGACAGCATGAAGGTGGGAAGAAGCATGTCTTTGCAGAAAAGCAGATCTACTTCTTATTTCTTTATGGTTTATGGACTTGGTTGTTTGTTCCCCATCATGGTTCTTTAACGTTGTCTTCATCAAGGTGGTCATTAAAGATCCCCTTTCCATAAGGACACAGCAATAGTTATTAACTTGCCTAATAGAACGACTCGGTGCCTTGGCCAGGAGAAACTAACTGAATGTCCACAGGCTATTTATGGACTCTTGTTTTGTTCCACTAGTCTTTCTATCTAGTATCCTTATGCCAACATAGTTTAATTATTATGAATTTACAGTGAGCTCTCTCTAATGGGAAACTTTAAGCTGGGGGATGGAAAGATGGGTTAATGGTCAAGGGTAATTGCTGCTCTTTCAGAGGAGCCAGATTCGCTTCCTAACATCCACAAGTTGGCTTAACCATCTGTAATCCCAGCTCCAAATCTGCCGGCCAGGGGATAACGCACACATGCAGTACACATACATACATGCAGGCAAAACACACATATAAACTATAAAATCCTTAGAAGATTGTTACAGCTATACTCAATCTTTTTTATTGCTATTCACATTTGTAAACATAGTTGTTAATGCAGTACCTACTTTACAACAAACGATTACAATAGAATATTTATATTGTTTTTACGTTTTATGGTACAACTGACATATAATAAATGGAACCAAACATATTCACAATACACAGTCAATATGTCCTTACAAATTTATAGACTTGTAGAACCAATACCACAATCAAGATAGCGAACATATTCATATTTCCATATACCTGCCAACGTTTGTAAAAAAAAAATCCATTGGAGCTGGTATAGTCCTGCATCTGTAGAGAAAAACACTGGAAAAACAGATTCTATGTTGTTTAATCTTGAGTATGATAGCCTAGTTTCTTCAGTATGTTCTCTTGCTTCATCAGAAAAGTGCTATCTACGTATCTGTATGTCTGTGAAGCCATTATCACTGTACACGTAGGTCAGAGAAACCAGCCAGCAACTTCTGTTTCTCATCTTGTTCCAGGCTTGGTCAGGCTTCTACTATTTTCAGGGATTCAAAATTTTACTTCTAATTCATGTATGTGTGTAAGGCTGGAGGGATGTGCACATGTGTGCATGGGTCCTGTTGGGCAGCTACATGGATCCTACACTAGGAATCAAGCTTGGTGAGTTCTGTCATCAAGCCACCTTTCCGACCCGTTTCTCCCTGCCCTCTTCTTAAACGTCAGCATCTATTCTTAAGGCTTTACACGAATAGAACTGTGTGCATGTGTGTGTACACGAGTCTGTGCACACATGGGTGTATTTACTTGTATGTATACCTACAGTCCTCAACTTCTTTTTTATAATTCTACATTATTAATTTCATTGAGCACATTGATAATTTCAATGTTGCTTTTGGAAGCTGTTTTTTTTTTTTTCCCCTTAATCCTTTTTCTTAAGCCACTTTGAAGACCTTTTCCATCAGTGTTCTGGTTTAAGTTGGATTTCCTTCCTTTTTTTTTTTTTTTTTTTTTGGTTTTTCGAGACAGGGTTTCTCTGTGGCTTTGGAGCCTGTCCTGGAACTAGCTCTGTAGACCAGGCTGGTCTCGAACTCACAGAGATCCACCTGCCTCTGCCTCCCGAGTGCTGGGATTAAAGGCGTGCGCCACCATCGCCCGGCTTGGATTTCCTTCTTATTCTACTTAAAACAACTCCCCCTTTCCTTGCCATAATTTTAGTCTTGTTCAGCAAGTTAGTTCTGTAATGTAATGACTGAAAATAAATTTTTAAATTTGTTTAAAAAATGAGCATCTTACTTTATAGACAGCTTATAGTTTACTCCAAAAGTTTAACTCTGAGACCCTTCCTGTCCAATAATGCATTCTATTTTGTAAGTATATAGAAAAAGAGCAATTTCCTCAACCTGATGCTGGGCTTTGTAATTTCCTACTCTAGTAAGTGTTATACAGAATGCTTCCAATCTTTTCCCTATGGCATCACTGAATTAATGAAGACTTACATCAAATAACGGATGCAAATCAGATGTGTCCAGAGAATTGGAGATTATTTCCCCTCAGGGATCTAAGTAGATGGTAAAATTACAAAATAAAACAAGTGGGTGATTGAAGCTTTAGCAACCCCATTTCTTTAATGACCTTCTAATAGTCTTTCCAAATTGTGTCTACTGAGATCACTAGCAACTTAGCAAAACACCAAAACATGACAGCCCATTAGCTCTCGAGACGGGAGGTCAACCTTTCAGTATGTGTGATTACTCTGAGAGGAATATGAAGCATACAAGGTAAGCTTTCTGTGAATATGAGTGTTTTGTTACTAAACGTAGATTCTATCCCAGAAGCTAATATTACTTAAGAATCATCCTGTGGAAAAACACAGGCTGATCCTTGCTTTCTTTTAAAGCCCAGAAGAGGGGCCAAGCAGCCTTTCAATTTCTGCTATCCTTAAACAGAACTCATGCAATAGGGTGTCTCTCATGCAAGAACACTGTTGCTTAAAGCTGATGCCCAGCCTGGCCTTAGGGAGGAGCGCCTACGAGACAAGTGCTATGCCACTTGCATCTTTCTAAAATAGCACAGTGCCATGTCTGTGAGTTCGAGGAAAATGGTGCGTCTGCTAAGTTCAGGCCAATGGCTAAGGACCCTTACATTAACTTAGCTGGCCAGTGTGCTGGCCACATCTGTTACTAGGGCTAGTCTTGCACTTGGAGAAACATGGCTGTTAAACAATATGATTTCCCAGAGAAGCACCCTTTCTAATACTAATTTTGCCATAGTCATACAGTGTGCCTATTAGTCTATGTTAAGACTGTCTTTAAGAAGTTACCTTCCAGCCGGGTGGTGGTAATCCTAGCATTCAGGGAGGCAGAGGTAGGAAGATCTCTGTGAGTTCGAGGCCAGCCTAGTCTACAAAGCAGATTCCAGGGCAGCCAGAGATACTCAGAGAAATTCTGTCTTGAAAAATAAACAAAAAACCAAAATCAAAAAATAAGTTTCATTATCATAACAGTTAAAACAAGTAAATACCCTGCATTTTTAAGTAGTTTGATAGCTCTTTGGAATGATTTAAAAAAACAAAAATAAAACAAAGAACCCTCCACAGCCTGTTTCCTATACAAAATATGCATAATTAATAGTATATCATTACTAACATAACCTTTGCTGTTAACAATGCCCTTCAACATAAAACACCCTTCTGGAATATTTAAAATCTGAATACAAATAGTATTTACTTCACTGCCTACTTTTCTAGGTCCATCTCTAGGCTTCTTCATCAAGTGTAAGTAATTTATAACTTACAGTATACAGAGACAGGACAGGGTGTAACACTAGCAATGTCTCACTTTATCTTCATTTGAAGATATAAAGTATATACGGTCATAATGACTTCCTAAGTCAATCTGTCACTGTTAATGGATTTGAAAGACAATTATGCAATTTCTCTAAGTTTGATTTTTTTTAATGTTCTATTATTTGTATTACATAATCAGTTCCTGGTTTCATTCAGACCGTACGTCACCCCCCTAACACAATCAGAGCATTTCAACTGGATGTCTTGGCAGATGGACGCCAAGCACAGAGATCAATCACACGTGGCACTTGTTTTAGGAGAGGTAAAGTTTACTTAGACATCAGCAAAGACAACACCATTTCCATAGTCTACAGAAATACAGTAATTTACAGCTAGTTTGGTACATGGTTCCATGTTAAAAGAACAAATCTAATGGGAAAAGAAATGGTTCATCCTATTTCTCGGCCACTTATCATAATTTAGTAAGTACATCAGTATGTTCTGGAAGACGGCTGCATAGATTAGAATCCTAGGGCTGCTGGTTAATATACATCATTATACAACAAGAATAATAGAAAACAAACAGCTACAGATACACAGTAAGCATGCGATCTAAGCTATTATTTGTAAGAAACAGGATGGACTGTAGTGAATACTGAAATCGCACCATCAGAACTCGTGACAGTGACTATGGTATTCTACATGGCACACGATTCCTCCTCTTTAAAAAAATGCTTGGCAAACTCGATCAGGTTGATCCAAGTTCTACAGCAAATTTAAATTAAGATGAAGGAAAACTCCATTAGATATCTTTCTAAATATCCTAACTAATCCATAAAGTACTGAAAAGTCATGTCTACTTGTCACCTCCAAATCTAAACAGATGTGTGCGCTGCGCCCCGGAACTCTGCACTGCTGACGCAGCAGCACCTAGCCACACGTGGAGCCCGAGGAGCCGACACACGGCAGAGTGGAGGGCAGCGAGCAGAGCACACTGAACTGTGAAGAAAGGAGGCGGCCAGCTCCTTAGTTTGTTATAATGATTATATGCTGAAATAGTATTTTAATAGATTAAGTTCGATAAGATATATTTTTATTAAAGTTAATTACACTTCTTAAACATTGCTACTAGAAAATTATAATTTCATTCTGGTTCACATTACATTTCCATTGAATACCACAGTCATAAATAACACATGATTATGTTACTCTTAGAATTTACATTTAATCTTAGTCAAAAGTCCAAGTGATAGCTTTAGAATTTAGCAAAATTTAATCAGTCTGGGATACTAAACTCCCAAGTACCACAAGTGTACTTTGCACATACCTTTTTATAAAATTTATTCTTATTCCCCTCCAGGGTATACATTTTAACTGTAAAGAATTCACAAGAGATTTAATCCTTTAAAAACTGTGGATACATAAGAACTAAAGGAACTTCCATGCAGACTGGGATAGCACAGGAACTATCAGTGAAGACACTGTCTCCAAGAAAACGAGCTGGCCTAACCAATACTTAATGCCCAGGATCCGACGCTGCACCACGAGTCAAGATTCCACTGTTAACTGCAGTCTACTGGACGCTCTTTTTGGAAAATCTACAAGCAATGTAAACTAATAGTAGAATATACTATCTGAGATCTTTTTCTTCAGTGAAAGTCCCTCAGTTTTATAATGTCAAACTATGCAATTAACTAGCATACAAAACCCCAAGTTTAAGAAAAGACATTGCTGTACTTTTAAAGTCTTTCTTTGTTTTTGTTGTAATAGTATATAGTAGTAGTATATAAATATTTGGCGTACTTCTAACACCTCATCTTTGATTTGTTTCCGGCTCAGAAACAGTACTGTGATCTAGTATAGTGTACACTCTATTGCTCTCCTAGAACAAAATACACCAAAAGTAGAGCTGACTCCAGCCAGTGATACAATCATGCATCAGCAAGCTCACTGAAGGCAAAGGCATTTAGACTTACACTACACACTTGCTTCCTCACAGTTCAGGTAGGAATATTTGTTTCAAGACTGTTTAAACCTTTTGCATCAGGTCAACTCAGAATAGGTCCTCAAACTACAGTATTATTGATAAAAATTTCTTCCTCATGTCAAACATATTCTGAGAAAATTATATGAAGTCACCCAGTCCAACTTTCTATTTTATCATTATCACTTTTACGACACAGGAAAGGAACTGAGAATTGGGGTGGAATAAGGGGCCTCTACTGGGAAGTGCAGGATATGCTAATACATACGGGGGCTGTAGAGGGTGGCCATAGCTCTCTTTAAGAGTTCAGCCACCAATATTTAAAGACATTTATTAAATGTGTCTTGCACAACATGCTACTGCTTCAGCTTTTTATAACTCCTGACTTCATACCATGGATATTATGTCTCTAACTGCACCTAAACAAACAAGTGTAATAATTCATGTCATGTAATAACATTTTTCAGTGTCCAACACATGGCTCTACAAATGTATTCTTCAGCGAAGAGATGGCAACAGTCCCCCTGGTGAGAGCTCTTTGATGGTAGAGCAAGAGCTGACTAAGTACTTCTCATCTGTGCCACTTCTTTAACCAACCAAAAGCTGCCTGCTTCAAATACACGACATTGAATATGGGAATAAATGAATGAATGCTTCCAGGGGAGAGTTGTGTGAATTGATGTTGGTATACTTCCCCCATGGCACATTAAAACAAACAAACAACAAACAAACCCCACCAAAGCCTCATTTGTATTATCCATCACTTTATAAACATGAGCAGTGCTTTGAGGAGTGTGACTGCTAGGATGAAATAAAGGCTGATTCCTTAAGGAGATGGAAGAAAAGCAGAATAACGTGCTTTATAAACCACCAAACTCCTAATCAAACAGTTTTTACAAAATTTACATACGGCAAGTGGACACTTAAGTCAGTTTCCAACTTTGCTAGAGCAAGCTGTCTATTGGGAAAATTACCTTAAATGAGAACACTTTGAGCAAATATAAAAATCAATGGGATAAAATCATGTAGACCTAGGCTCCAGATCTCTTTAGATGTGTGTATGTTCACACACATACACTTAGATATCTAAAAAGATCCTCAACTCTGGCTGCAATGTTATACAATCTTGCCTTATATATTTAAACTTGATAATGTATTTTTCATACAAAGTAGCATACTTTACCCAAAACTAAGAATGTGGACAATGATTAAGAGAGATATACGTTAATATTCCTTCTCCAGTATTTATCAGTCTGACGGGTTAGTTTCCCATAACATGCCAGGCATTAGGGGATATTCTGAACATGTCTGCATCTTACACCTCACACATGCAGAGAAAAAGAAGTCTTAGGAAGCAAAACAGCTGTCAATTTGCAAAGCAACAGCAATTATTTTTCTCAATATGATTTTTAAAGGCTGAGAAAGTTAACTGAAACAAAATATAATGTTCTCCACTTCCCCCAAACTGGAAGTATAACACAGAAATTCTCTTAATGGGCAACATTTATGGTGACATTCACAATACAGCTACAGGACAAGCAGCAAGACAGTGTGGATTAGCTTTTGCATACTAACGCTCAATAGCTAGCAATGTATTGAGCATATTTTGCATTTTCTTTTTGGCCACAGAATATAATATTTTGTTCTAACTGATGAAATCTTCTACACCCTGAGGAACAACAACCAACTACTAAATGTCAGGGCCAGCTTTATGGCTATGCTCTTGTTCGGAAAGCACAGATCAAACCAACTGCCCTGGGTTTGTGAGCCAATAGTCTCTGGTGGTCTGTAGTAACAGGGATGGCCTGAGAAGGTACAGAAGTCATAGCCGAGAGCCTGAGAATTCTCCTCACACCCTAAACCCACACAGGAGACATTGGTTCCTGCATCAATTATGAACACAACATAATTAGAGATATATTATTCAAAAATGCTCTGCAAAGCACTTTGGAATTTTTACTGTAAAGAAAATTTATTTGCTATCATGAAATATGATGGTACTACCTTCCCCTTCCCCACACAAATACATAAAATTTGAAATTTCATTTTAGTATTTCCCACTTTTCTTTTGGCCTTAGCAAGTGCTATTGAAGGGTCTTCCGAATAAGGCAAAGGGTCACTGGGGACAACCACCTGCTGTGAGGTGCACTGGTGTGGGGCCTGCTTCCCTTCGAGCACAGAATGCACGGGTTTAATTGTGTGCACCTGGACCTTTAGTTAACGAGGCCTCCAAATGTTAGTTGACAAAAGGAAAGAACAAATTCTAAGTCTTGGTATTCTTAGTAGGACACTCAAAAATTGCCAATTAATGAAATATAAATTACAAGATCATATCTTCTCGAGTTCAGTATAAGATAACCTTGTAACCCTCCCTGAAGTAAGAAAGGCACTCAAGTTAAGATATTATACAGTTATTTTTAAAAAGACACTATGTGACAATATGTGGAATTCTTGGGGTGGCTTTTTCTTACTGTTTCTATGAAACTGAGTTTGCTGAAGTTTCCTCATACCCCCACATGCTTCTTTAATAAGTAGAAGCTCATTACAGACCATGTGTGTTGGGGGTGGAGGAGCATACATATTGCTAGGGTTTGCAGTTTTATTTAAGACAAAAGATATGGTTTTTACAATATTCAAAAATTTTTGAATCAAGCATTTAAAAAAATTCTAATAGCAAAATAACAGTAAACCCAAGAAGCTTTCTAGGAAAAAAAAAAAAAAAGGATTCTTCATTTTACAACTGAATCGCCCCTAACTTAGGGAGCCAACTGAGATGCCTGTATGGTGGTGGTTCCATGCCTAAGCTACATTTGGCCCATGTCAGACACCACCTTGTGCTGTGTAAGAGAAACTGCAAGACGGACAATTTGTAACAAGTTCTACACACACACACACACACACACACACACACACCAGGAACTGAGAGAATCTGAACATTAGCTGTCTACCACACATGCTTTCTACAGATTGCTGCATATAAACTCAAAAGCTCGCTTCTACGTTGTATGTTACTTAGCCCTTATTTGAAACTCTAAGTGGCTTTTGGTGATAATCTGTACACATTTAACTCTATGACTGATTAACAAATGAAGCCTGAGCACCAGCAAAAACAAAGGGAAAAGAATTAATGAAGCATTTAGCTTAAGTTAGAACTGTGCCCCAAGAGTAAGAAATGTCTGGCCCAGAATTTTTTTAAAAGTAATACGAGATAGTAACGGGTATAAAATCCTTAGTCTTAAAAAATGGCTCATGCAGGTTCCAGGAGTACCTAAAAGGCCCACAGTTCAAGTTGGGGATTGGGATGACTCACATACAAATACAGATCAACAAGTCTCTAAATCCAAGCATTATGCCATCTGCTCAAATGTGCCCCTGGCTCTGTATGCAAGATCTGCTTTTCAACATCATTTAGTGAAAGAAAACAATAATCTTACCAAGTGGATCTTATTGACACTGAGAGTTTTTAGTGTAGACAAACAGCTAAGAGAATTCTAGAGCTCCATCTCATGGCTGAGAGTTAACAAGCCTAAACAAGGTAATGAAGACAGCAAATCTAAATCTCACTAATTTTACATGTGAGAGCTCTCCTTAAGTATTAACGAAGGTAGCCCATATCACTAACTTATAACTCATTAATTTCCTGATCATTATTCCATCATTTATGATCAATCTTTCCCTTCTTCAAAGAGTGAATTAGTCAACTTAATAAACAGTTATTAAGTCCTTATTATGTGCAAGGCATAGGATATAACCTGGAAATACAATTACCAAAATACACAGCCTTAAAAAAGGTAGGGTGGGGCTGCGGTGAGAGCAGATTCAACGTGTCAGTCTAAACTAACTAACTTTTCCTCTTAACAGCAACATATGTACAGAAGGATGTGACTAAACAAGCCCTACATTATATGGATTCTTTCTATGGCATTAGTTCATTTGGTCAAAGACACAGTAGCCTGCTAGAGAGGGTAAATGCCAAACAGAGAAAACATACAGGGAAATCCTAAGTCCTGTGATGAACATTTCAGATGTAATGTAGCAAAAGCCACAAAGAAACAGGATCTTTTAGATATCTGTATTTTTACTACCTACTTTCTACTTTACTAGGAAGAAGAAACCACGGTATATTAGAGGACTCCACGGCTTCAGGAAGGGGTGGGCTGAGCCTTAGAGGACACAAGAAGGCAGCTAACACCAAAGATGACCAAGAAGCTGAGTAGAAGATATAAAAAGGAATGGAACACTATAAAAAGTTAGCAGATGTTCATACAGCATAGCCTATGCTCATGGCCTGACAAACAACATCAAATATAAGCCCCATTGCTTCGGAAACTAAAAAGGATGCTGTTGAGAAAGGTAATACCGAGTAAAGACAGGGGTTGGCAGCAGTAACTGCTGTCATTTCTACTCACTCTCAGGGAAGTTAAACAACATGTAATTGTTTTCCTATAGAGATCCATGTAGAACTTGAGGTATTTGATGATTCAAACTATGCTTTGTAAATAGAACTGTGGAATTATGTTAACAATGTTGAGTATTTTTATCATCTAAATACTTTAAAACGGTAAACATAACTTTGCCCCAAGAAAGTAAGCTCTATCTACTGGGGCCAGCAGAATTTTTTTTTCTAGTATCCTAAGTGCCTCCTCACTCAGCTCAGCAGTCTGCCACCCAATAAGACTACAATGCCCTAGCTAAAGTTTATTTATTTTTTCTCTGAATAAGAGTGCCTAACTCAAGTACAAGTGCCCACTAGAGTGAGACAGGAGCAGTTCGCCTTTCCCTCTGTCCCTCTACCTACACTACACAGTACCAAGTGTGAAAGAGATCACACAAAACATGATGGCGGTGCTTGTTTCTGTAATCACTGCTTACATTTTGCACATATATTGGATGAGACAGCTTCCACCATTGTGCTGGCTTAGTTCTATGTCAATTTGATACAAGCTAGAGTCGTCTGAGAAGAGAAAACCTCAGTTGAGAATATGCCTCCATAAGATCAGATCATAAACAAACCTACAGGGGAATTTCTTAATTAGTGATTGATGAGAGAGAGCCCAGATCACTGTGAGCGGTGCCATTTTATGGGCTGGCAGTCCTGGGTGCTAAAAGAAAGCCAAATGAACAAGCTGTGGAGAGTAAGTCAGTAAGCAGCACTCCTCCATGGCCTCTGCATCAGCTCCTACCTAGAGGTTCCTGCCCTGCTTGAGTACTGCCCTGAATTCTCTCAGTGATGGACTGTTACCTGGAAGTGTAGGTGAAATAAACCTTTCCTCTCCAAGTTGCTTTTACTCGTGGTGTTTCGTCATAGCAATAGAAACCCTAACCAAGACAACCATTAAAAGGAGGGAATACGAGAGGGGCACCTTTTATTCATACTTCCTGTGTTTATATAGCTAGGTATTAAATCCACTGACATAAGAGAGATAATAGCTTCAGTGGGTATCCCTGAAAAAAAGACACACAATAAAAGAATATGGACCAGTGAGTGATGGGAAGCAGGGGGTGGACTGGTAAGATAAAGAGAAGGGACGCACACAGAGGAGTCACGGCTCATCCCAAGGGGTGGATAGAGTAAGAGAGACAGAGACGGTATTCGACCCATTCCCACCCCCATTTCACCAACCTGAAAAACACAGCCCTTGTTATTGAGATATAGCTATAATGTGGACTTTGGTACTTATCCCTGATGAATTTAGTATCAAAGTGTTTTGTTTGACTTTAAAAGTAAAAATTGAACTAATGCTTAAAACTAGCCTTCCTCCCCAGATTTTGCCAGTAAACTCCGACTAGCCACTTGACAAAAACTGCAGTTTATCCAGTATAGTCTTAGAAACTTAAATTTTATAAGGAAATCTTTACAGGACTATAATTATATGTAGTTTTCTCCCACTTTTCTTGAGTAATTTTAGAAGGAAAAAAGTAGTAATAACTAAAAATGGCATTTCTGGGTTTTTGTAAAGAATTTATTTTATAAGGGCTGACTTACTGTTTTGGCATATACCAAATATGAGGTAAAAACAATCTATCAAAACTAGTAATAAAAATAATTTTCCAGTACTACAATTACATAAACTCTTAAATTAGTTTAGTTTCTTTTAAATAAGCATTTAAAAAATAGATTACATTGGAAGCATTTTTTTTTTTTTTTATATAAATCCTAACACTCCTGGCTTTGGTTCTCTTAGTCGGTAACTGGAGAACATTCTTGAGAAAGAAGTGGCTTACATTTGCACATATCCATCCATCTAGCCATTTTATTCTCAAAACTGCAATTAGAGCAAGTCCTTTTGCACATCTATGAATATTCCTAAGCTGAACTGCAACTTAAAATTTCAATTTTTAAAGAAACTGCTTACGTAGCAACTGAACTGAGGTGGGTAAAGGTACGTGAACCAATCTCAAGAACCAAATGAAAAGCCCAAATATTAAAATAAAGGGCATGGAATCAAACAGGAAAACTTAAGACTCACTGTTTAGCAAGAAGGAACTATACAGTTATTTTGTACCCAAAGGAATGCCAGCTCTGAGCAAAATAAATAAAACCAAAACATTTCTTACAGACTTTAAGCTGTAGATGACGAATCCAGAGTTAGCCAGTCAGTCCATGCAGCTATGGCATTGAGAAAGGAAAGCAATATTGCACTAAAAGGGGATTTCTTAGGATGAATCCACACCTTTCACTGACTTAAAGTCACCAGCCATTTCCTGTATGCATTAGCATACCTGGCTTGCTCTACATTCCGACAAGTGGATAATACTTGATCAATAAACCTGTGCTCCATCTCTAGGCCTAGAGAGTCTGGAGCTGGGGTCCGCTTCAGGCGTTTGGTTTCCTGGGAATAGCCTTGTTTACTAGAGTCATTCAGTCCGTCCACTTCCATTGCCTGAGATAGTTGAGGGCTTGCTGGAATCAGGTGCAAGTCATTCAAAGTACCCCCAGAGCAGTCTGCAGGTGACAGGTGAGTCAAGTTGAGAGGACACCTGCCACTTAAGTGATGTTGAAGGTAGAAAATATGCCGCCTGTGATGGGGGATGGGGTGGAAGGAAGAACATCATCACAAAAATCAAGATTTCTAGGCAAAAGAAGTCGATAATTTAAAAGTACAAAGTATTAGCTAACACCCAGTTCATAATCCAGAGCTGTCTGGGGGAAGAGAAAAATGACTTAAAGGATCAGGGCTTCAATCCTCGCCACTGGTTTGTGAGGAAATAGTACTGCTGTAAAGACTTCCCAATAAACATTTACTCAACTCACAGTGAGTTTTCAGTTTCTAATTCTAACATGAATTAGAAACAGTAAAAGCTCAATATCTCCATAAATAATCATATAAAACAAAATACCAACTTCATTTAGAATTTTTGAAGAAATCAGAAACAAGGTACATTAAACAATTCCTCCATACTAGAGGCATAGTTCATAGCCTCTATCTAGTTCTTTCTGAAGACACCTTTATTGCATTTATTTATGTGTGCGTGCATGCGTGCGTCCGTGCATGTGTGTGTGTGTGGTATGTGTGGGTACAGAAGTCAGTTCTCTCTTTCCACCAAGTTCTATGCTCCAAGTTGTAGGGATGGGACTCATGCCATCAGGCTAGTTGGCAAGTGCCTTTCCTCACTGAGCCATCCCACCAGTCCCTGGTCTTTTTTAAAGCTCGAAGAATACACCTGTGGCAGTTGGTCTTATTTAATTAAGCTTTCTCTTAAACCTTTAGTCTTCCATATCAGTATTCGGCAGAGCTATGCTAGGCTCTGAGTAAAGCACATAAAAGACGACACTCCTGTTTTGAATCTCTTAAGAGCAATTATCACCTGGAATTGCTTATTAAAACAAAAACTGCTCTGCTTAATCTCCAAACAGTTTTCATGGTACACACATCTGCTACACAAACTATAACATGACATATGAGGTTCTAAGTTGTTACATCTCATCATTCACTCAAGGGCTAAGGTCTTCCTATGTCTTACTATCAATGTTTTAAGTCTCTGTGCCTTGCTACTGCGAGGATGAGGTCCAACAGAGCAACAAAGTCACTAGCACAACAGTTGCACAGCCTGTCTTAAGACTTTATGTGAAAAGACCATTGTCTACTCATGAAGGTTCAAGAAAAAAGAAAAATAATGTCTGCCTTCCGAGTGTACTCAATGTGGACTATAATTAACAGACCAGCTAAGAAGTCCACGAGAAAGACTAGACTGGAGAAAGGGGTGGGGGCTCAGTAACTCAGGAAATAGATTTTACAATCCTTATCCTTACCTAGCACAGACAAGTCTTTTGTTTGTAGACTAAATCCTGTGGTCTGAAGTAGAATTCAGATTTATAAAGCTGGAGATACTTCCAAACAGATAAAGATCCAAAATAAATGAAGCAAAGTGTTAATGAAGTTTATAGTATCAAATGTTCTCAAAACCCAGGTCAATAAAATTGTTGGCCTTTCTGATTATTATTATTATTATACTTAGATAATTAATGTGTAGATCCTGAGAGTAGAGAAAAAGATAAAGCTTACCTGATATTCATAGTCTAATCATTAGTCTCAATCCTAACTGCATCAAAATGTCTAAAAGGTTTTACTTTTCTTAAAAACACATGGCAGTACTCCATCCCTGATATGTTAATTGCCAGGATCTCCAAAGAGTCATGAAACATTTTTATGTTTTGTTTCTATACTATTTTGGAAGTAACACAAGTCTTTATGTTGTGTACTTAAGTGTGAATCTAAACCACAGACAACGCTGTGTGTGAGAAACCTCATATTAACAATGGTGATGAAATGCTGAACAAAAGCCCTTTCCTCAGTCAGGAAACCAGAGAGCCATATTCACGTTCACAGACAGAAGTCAGATATAACAGGTTCTGCAGCCAGTCAATCCACAGGATGTGGATTCTTCTCTCCTCTTACCTATGACACCAAAGGGTTTCATGTCCTGGATAGGAATCAATAAGATCTGTGCAGAATTCCACCTCTTCTTCTAGGAGCTGGGTAAGATCTACCCTTGGTTCCTCTGTTGAAGCTGCTGCTTCTTCATCTTTTGGCTCATCTTTCAAAGAGTTTTGCTGCAGTGCAGAAGTGTCCATTGCAGTCTGGCTAATCAAAGATTTTAACAGAAACTGGCGGTAGTGAAATCCACTGTGGTCTGAAACGTGCATGGACGCCCAGTGTTTAGTAGAAGATAGCTCATCAAGAAGGATCTTGAAGGAAGAAAAGGGACGTGAGAAGAGCGTTTACAAAAGTGTTCTTTCCGCATCATCACCTGTGCCCCTGCTCCGATTCACTGTCACCAATCTCTGTATACAAAGTCCTACATGCTGTCCCCTTGGAAGCCGAATATATGTGAACTTCTCTTGTCTCTTATAAAGTGAGAAAATTTTTTTTTTGAGAACAGAGTTTAAGGACTTACATTCTTTCATTTCACCTTATCACACTGTGAATGGCCAACAAAGAAAACCAAATTCAAAATTAATGAATTTCTGGGTAGTTATTTATAAGTAATACTATTGGGGAAGGGGAATATACAACATCAATTAAGAGGTGATTTTGATTCTTATTACATTTAAAACTTTCATCCTAATCGTACGAATATGCACTATACTTTCAGTAAGGGATTCCAAATGCTTCCCACAAGAAATGACATGCATGGACTGTGTCTGTTTGTTTTCACTTCTGAGTTCTAAGGGCTAAGCACAAACTATGATGTACAAAAACTAGAATTTCCGAAGGGTGACTTAATTGTCACCCTTTGCCTCAAACTGATAGTACTGAGTGGATGAGATATAATTTAAATAAATATTTAAAACATTATACTACAAACTAATGCATTTCAAAAGGAATGCTCAAAGTTGATTTGTGAAGCAATATTATTTGGCACTGGTTGGACAGGTGGCTATCAATGAAACATGCCATCACAACCTGACATGTTCCATCGAGGGAGTTGTTGGGGTTTTGTTTTGTTTTGAGACAGGGTCTCACTCTGTAACTTGGACTTCCTGGAAGTCACTGTGTAGCCCAGACTGGCCCCAGACTAGCAGTGATCCTCCTGCTCAGCTTCCTAAGTGGTGATGACAGGTGAGAGTCACCATCCCTGGCTTCTACAGACGGTTTTCAGACAAGCCAAGGAAAGGACCATGCACTTGTGAGCAGAGAACAACAGAGACAGTGTGCACCACTGCGTATGTGAGACGGGGGGGGGGGGGGGGGGGGGGGGGGGGGGGGGGGGGGGGGGGGGGGGGGGGGGGGAGGATCTTGGTACAGGAAAAGCATTTGCTGGGAACTTTAAAGCAGGGAGAATGCACCAAATGACCTCTACCTTCCAGCAAATATTTTTCCTGTACCGAGATCCTCTCCCTGCGCCTCACATACCTTTTCTTTTTCAGAAGAAATCTTTCCTTTTGGAAGCCTCACAATATGTGTACATTTTCACAGAAAGAACTGTTGCATGTGTTTTCATTATCATTAAATTGGAAGGATATTTGATTTTTAATATAACAATAAATTTGTACAGGATACAAACTTGATGTTTCCATTCTCTTCTGCTCGCTAGCAACAGAGCAGATATGCAAATGCTTCAGGAATGAATGAAGGTAGTGGAAAGTATCAAGGACTAGGATTCCCAGTCTGGATGGGCAAAGTCTACCGTTTTAAAGTTTTGTCATGTCTCCTTTAAATTCTTTTTTTTTTTTTTAATTTTTGTTTTACTTTTGTTGAGACAGGGTCTAGTGATGTAGTTCAGGCTTGCCTAGAATTCATGATCCTTCTGCACCAGCCTCTGGGGGCTGGATCCTTAACTTCTAATGTGTACAACATTGCCACTACCTTTACTTACACAGCTATAGCTGGCAAGTCTGCAAGAAAAAACATTTAGTTTCAGAGTGAACAAAACCAGAGTCATTTCTACTTGAGCTTGTATCTGAATAATATCATTTAAGGGTTATTATTATTGTTATTGTTATTATTATTATTATTATTATGAAGTGGACCCATAGAAAAAGCTAGGTATGGGGCACACATTGGCAATCCCCGTGTTAGGGAGATAGAGACTGGAGGATCTCTGAGGTTTGTTTGTTGGTTAGTTCAGCCACTTCAGTAAGTTCCAGGTCCAGTGAGAGACTATCTCAAAAAGGAGGTGGCTAGGTCCATGTCTCCATGGCAAAAGCATTGGTTCCACAAACATGAGGACCCGAGTTCAAATTCCCAGTTCCTATGAATAAAGTGAGGCATGGCTGCACATGCCTATAACCCCAGCACTGGGGGTCAGAAACAGGAAGATGCCAAGAACTCACTGGCCAGCCAGCTAGCCAGAATGGTGAGTTTCCAGTACAGCGGCAGATCCTGTAGCCAGGTACCAAGATTCAGAGCAAGAGAAGAAGACACGTGACTGCTTGTATATCTGTCCACTCACATGTATACAACACACACATACACACACACACACACACACACACGGGGGGGGGGG